GCATATTGGCCAGTTTTTTTTTTTTTTTTTTTAATAAAATAAATAATGGTAAAAGTAACCTGTGTGTTTTAAGGGGAACTAGTAAACATACAGGTGTCTAATGAGCCGCTCCTTCTCCTCCAGGCTTGATTGGGAAAGTGACCCTCCAGATTCCCTTTTACCGCCCGCATGTGGACCCCTGGGTGATCTCCATCTCTGGCCTCCACTTAATTGGTGCCCCTGAGAAAATCCAGGACTTCAACGATGAGAAGGAGAAGCTGCTGGAGAGGGAACGTAAGAAAGCGCTGCTTCAGGCCCTGGAGGACAGATGGAAGGCAAGCAAGGCTTAGAGCCTCCCTCACGGTCTTAGGGCGGGGCCTTAGGGCTCCTGTGAGCTCCCGAAGCAAAGGGCAGGCCTGTGCTGACACTGGCTCTTTCCCTTGCAGAGCGAGCGCAAGCAGAAGGGAGAGCCTTACTGGTATTCTGTCACCGCCTCAGTCGTCACTAGGATTGTGGAAAACATTGAGGTGAGCCCTGCCAACCTTCCTGAAGACATGTGAAGGGTTTCTGAGCCTTAGATGTGTTTTCGCTTCTGAGTTGCTCGTTTCTTGTGGGTTTATGGCTTCTCAGGTGTGCCCCTTTGGAGGCTGCACCAAAGGGAAAACCTGTAAAGCAAGTCCTGCTTTGTGAGGTAGACACAGGTCTTTCTTGCTTTAGCAAGGTATGAGTGGCATAGGCATTTCACGCACCCCCCACCACACTTTCTTTTTTAATGTTAGATGTTGGAATCTTACTTGCTAAAGGATTTATCACCTCAGAAGCCAGGTTACTTAGGCCTACATGACTGGTTTCAGGGCAAGTCATTTAACCTCTCTGGTCTCAGTTTTTTCACCCGCAAAATGGGAGAGCCTGGGTCCCCATTGCTTATCGTGTTGTGAACTATAGATGGCCACTAAGGCATCTGACCTGTCATTGATGTATCTTACGGAGTTTGGATGCACTGCACTGCTGGGGCCATGTTTTTGATCATTAGGAATAGGATAGTGGATGAAATATCCATTGAATGTCACAAGACAGTCCATGCTTAAAGTCTCTAGGGTTCTATTGCAGTGTCAAGGCAATCCAGGCCAAATGTGTTCAGTGTGTGCTATGTTCCCCAAAAGTATGATCTGAAGTTGTTAGTTTCATAATGGGGATGAAAAGATTGATGCACTTGAGGGCACTGATTTTTTAGAAAATGTTATTATTGCCAGGCAGTAGAGGTGAAGGCCTTTAATTCCAGCACTTAGGAGACAGAGGCAGGTGAATTTCTGTGAGTTTGAGACCAGCCTGGTCTACAGAGTGAGTGCCAGAACATCCAGGGCTGTTAGACAGAGAAACCCTGTCTTGAAAAACAAAAACAAAAACAAAACAAAAAATAAAAAATAAAACCCAAAACAAACAAAAACAAAAAACCAGAAAATATTAATATGATATTTTTGTGCATGTGGTATATATAGCTTTATGTGCAGGTGTATGTATATATTTTCTACAACAAAAAATATATTTTTCTCATAAAAAGTTTCTTTTTACATTTATTTATTTACTGGGGGTAGGAGGCACATGTGGAGGTCTGAGGATACCTTGTGGCAGTTGGTCCTCTCCTTCTACTGTGTGGGTCCTGGGGATCAAACTCAGGTCATCAGGCTTGGTAGCAGGCACTCTGGCACCCTTACCTGTCTAGCTATCTGCTGGCCCCAGAAATGTCTTTTTCTAGGACTAACTAGAAAGCCATTTCTCTACAGTGGAATCACAGGAATAGTGTTGCTGGTGGTGTGCAGGTCTTAGGTAGAGAAGTCCACTGCAGCAGGTCTGAGCCAGGTGGGCGTGTCTTCACTGCATTCCTCATCCTCTGGGTCTAACATTTTTCTGTCTCTTCTTCCTTGATGTTTTCTGAGCCTTGGGGGTGAGGGTGTGATGTACTTCTGCCATTTAGAGCCGAGTACCCTGCCACCACTTTTCTTTTCTCTGTGTAACAGCCCTGGCTGTCCTGGCACTCACTCTGTAGACCAAGCTGGCCTCAGAGTCACAGAGATCCGCCTGCCACTGAGCCACCTCACGGCCCATATTATGATTTTGACATCAATATTAAGCATTGGTTTTTCCACATTGGTCTCAATACCATGATTGTCTTTTGATTATAATCATATTAATAGAGTGACGACTCACTGTTGTTTTATGTGTCTTTTCCTTCTCTGTGGTGTGGTGTGTGTGGTTTATGTTTGTTGGGCATGCACACACATTTGCCCTTGTGTTCATGGATGTGGAGGCCAGAGCACAATGCCAGGTGTCTTCCTCTCTTGCTGTCTGCCTTTTTGCCTTGTACAGGGACTCTCTCTAAGTTGGAAACTTATTATTTTGACTAGGCTGATCCAGGTCCTGGGGTCTGTCTGTTTCTGTCCCCTCCCTCAATACTAGCATCACAGGCAAGTGCAGCCAGGCCTGACTTTCTGTGTGGTGCTGGGGATTTGATCCTCAGATCCTCATGCTTGCAAAACAATTGTTCCTACTCATTGAGCCATCTCCCTGATCTAGTTTGTATTTTCATAATGGTTAATGATGCTGAACATGTGTATATAGTTTTCTTTTTTCTTGACCACACCACGTGTTAACTTTCTTTTTGCAGTGCTAGGACTTGAGCCAAGCCCTTGCACATGATAAACACACACTCTACTTTTGAGCTGCTCCCAGATCCTATTATTGGTTTAATCAATGCCAGGTGTCTTCCTCTCTTGCTGTCTGCCTTTTTGCCTTGTACAGGGACTCTCTCTAAGTTGGAAACTTATTATTTTGACTAGGCTGATCCAGGTCCTGGGGTCTGTCTGTTTCTGTCCCCTCCCTCAATACTAGCATCACAGGCAAGTGCAGCCAGGCCTGACTTTCTGTGTAGTGCTGGGGATTTGATCCTCAGATCCTCATGCTCCTCAGATCCTCATGCTTGCAAAACAATTGTTCCTACTCATTGAGCCATCTCCCTGATCTAGTTTGTATTTTCATAATGGTTAATGATGCTGAACATGTGTATATAGTTTTCTTTTTTCTTGACCACACCACGTGTTAACTTTCTTTATGTAGTGCTAGGACTTGAGCCAGGCCCTTGCACATGATAAGCACACACTCTACTTTTGAGCTGCTCCCAGATCCTATTATTGGTTTAATTCACTGAAGCAGAGTGCCTTCCTTCTCTTTCTCACACATGTGTAGATTCACACAGACCTTATGTGCCTTGCTGCTTTTCCTGGGCTCAGGTTCCTCAGAGACAAGAACGGCAGGACCAATTATCTGGGTTCAATGATGTTGTTCTCTCTTCCCTTCTCTGTAAAACTATTATTTATGTATATATTATTTTATATGTGTGGGGGTACGTGTGCATAGGCGAGAGGACAACTTTCTGGCGTCTGTTCTTTCCTTCTATCTTTACGAGGGTTCTGGGGATTGAACTTACATGGCTAGGTTTGCACGACTGCTGAGCCATCTCTCTGGCCCCTGGTATTCCTGTGTTTAAATGTTTACAGTGACTTCTGGAATGATTTGATGGGAGCATTGCAGCCTTCCTGAGATAACGTCCATGGCAGTGAACTGTCATTCTTGAGTGGTTTGTCATCGTGTTCCCTTGGAATTTTGAGCACACTGGGAGCCCATTTGCAGATGCCCTCTGGTTGGACCCCACCAATAGGATTCCACCTGCAGAAGTTATCTAAATGTTTTCCCTTCCTGTCTTTGCAGTTAAAGATTCAAGATGTCCATTTGCGCTTTGAAGATGGTCTTACCAATCCATCTCATCCTTTCGCATTTGGCGTCTGCATTAAGAACGTGTCCATGCAGAATGCTGCAAACGAGCCTGTGAGTATGAGATCTGACCACAGACCAAGAGTAAAACTGCCCTTGGCTCCTCAAAAGTGTTATGTAAACAAGCCCTGCTACTTGCCCACCTATGCCGGTGTCCTTTTCTTTTTGAGACTGGTTTCTCTGTATAGTCCTGTCTTATGGTTTTATACACAAGCAAGCTGAGGTGCAAAGGATTCTTGTCAGCAAAGGATTTCAACCTCCATTTTCCCACTCCTTTGTCAATCATCAAGGAAACTTGTTCTACTTAGGTTTCACCCGCTGTCTGGGAATGTCTGTGATGGTTTCCACGCAGTCCTTTTTTTTTTTTTTTTTTTTTATAAAACTGCTAGGTGACATTTCTGTGGTGTTTTAGACTATCTGGTAAAACACCGATTCTCCACACTCTTCACATACCCTGGGTTTTTGTTTTTCCGACAGGGTTTCATTATCTTCTACTAGGATGGCAGGCCTCCACCACCACACCTGGCAACTGTCTTAATTGATTGTATTTCCTATTCTAGAGTCAGATAACGCCTTGTTCCATAAAACAAGTGTTTTGTCGGGCAAAGGGGGTCGATACTGTTGACATAGAAAAGTTGACAGATTATTTAAAAGTTTGAGATGGCCTCATGTCACTGAGGGCAACCTTGAACCAGATATGTAATTTACTAAACATCTCTTTGGACTTCTGGTCCTTCTGTCACTTCCCAAGTGCTGGGAATTACATGTATGAGCCACCATGCCTGCCTCAGCATCCTATAATTTTTACTTACTAGGACATGCATTTATAGCTTTTGAGCCTTGTGTGATTGTGGGTTCGGCACCCTCTTCTGACTCTGCAGGCATTGGATACAGCTGTACAGATATCCATGTAGGCAAAACATCCATGCACATAAAACAAAAAACAGCAGGACGTGGTGGTGCGCTCCTTTAATCCCAGCACTCGGGGCAGAGGCAGGCGGATCCTGAGTTCAAGACTAGACTAGTCTGGTCCATGCAGTGAGTTCTAGGCCAGCCAAGGACAATGTAGTGGGATCCTGTCTCAGAGCAAACCAGAGAGAGAGAGAGAGCGAGTGAGAGAGCTGAAATGTGAAGCTAAGAAGTCAG